CTGCCTTTGGCCCAGGGCGCGATCCTGGAGACCCGGGATCGAATCCCACGTCGGGCTCCCGGTGCATGGAGCCTGCTTCTCCCTCTGCCTGTGTCTCTGCCTCTCTCTCTCTCTGTATGACTATTGTAAATAAATAAAAAAAAAAAATTAAAAAAAAAACAAAGAAAAAAATACGAGTATCTAAAATTAACTCATTCAAAGACTATATAATCACATACTAGATTGAGATCCTAAACCACACCCATAAGTTGTTTACAGAGAGACATTTAAAGCAAAAGTTGCAGCATGGTGTTAGTTGTGGGGGATATGGAGATGAGCAAAAATCAAATTCTTAAAAGGGAAAAAAAGGTGAAAATGCCAAAGTGATTTTATAATTTAAAAAATATTTATTCATTCATTCATTCATTCATTCATTCATTCATTCATGAGAAACACACAGAGAGAGGCAGAGACCAAGGGAGAAGCAGGCTCCCTGCAGGAGCCCGATGTGGGACTTGATCCCAGAACTCTAGGATCACGCCCTGAGCCAAAGGCAGATACTCAACCGCTGAGCCACCCAGGAGTCCCTAATTTTAGAGGCAAAGACACAGAGTGAGAAGCAGGCTCTCTCAGAGAGCCCGATGCGGGACTCAATCCTCCGACCAGGATCATGCTCTGAGCTGAAGGCAGATGCTCAACCTCTGAGCCACCCAGGCAACCCATTGCCAAAGTGATTTTAAAACAAAAGCTAGGGGATCCCTAGGTGGCTCAGCGGTTCAGCTCCTGCCTTTGGCCCAGGGCATGATCCTGGAGTCCCGGCATCGAGTCCCGCATCGGGCTCCTGGCATGGAGCCTGCTTCTCCCTCTGCCTGTGTCTCTGCCTCTCTCTCTCTATCTGTGTCTATCATAAATAAATAAATCTTTTAAAAAAAAGATAAAAAAACAAAACAAAAGCTAATACAAACTCCACAGTAAAAGATACATAGCAAAATAAAATACATAAAACAAAACTGAGAAATCCAAGGAGAAATGAGCAAATAAAGAATTGTGGAAGAGTGTAAAACAAACTGTTTGTGATCAGTCCTATGGCAGATTGTATAAAACAAAAGGAAATAACCCAACTCCATGGACAGGATCATACTTTCTTTTCAAGTAGGAGCCAACGAGGAGGATTTCATGCCTTCGCACTTAAAAGGGGGCAGTTGGTTATTTCATCACCTAAGTGTTGATACAGCTGGAGGGGTACGTTCACCATAACCCCTTCCCCCCAACAATCTTGGCTTAGAAGCAAATTTTTGGCCATGTTTGACTACCCTGTTTTAGTAAAACTAGAAATTTATAATGTTAATATTAAGCCAGTGTATTAAACTGTGTTCTCTTTTATCGGACTCATGCTCTATGATTTTAATTGCCCCAAAAGTTTTAAATTATAAAAATATTATCAATATTGGATAAAGTTGTTTGAATGACATGTCCCTCTGCCTACCAACCTGAAAATCAGTGGTTTTAGGCATTCATGCAGCAGACCTAAGCAAAATAAGATTTGAGTAGTGATTCTTTTACTTAAGGAAATAAATGCATTTCATTTCAAAGTATTGGGGGCACCTAAGTGCAATATATTAATGGTAGTGTGGGAGAATTGAAGTCGAATAAGATAAGGTGCCTCCTACAGTATAGTTTTGTGATGGAGACAGACAAATGCATCAGTAATTCTCAAAATAAGCAAACTGACAAATACCATATAGAAGCACAAACTTGAGAATAAACTTACTTGACTTTTTTCTATTTCTGGCACTTACTTGAGGAAACAAGAAGCAGTGTCTTATTGCCTGTCAGTGTTATTGCTTCAGTCAGTGAACCAGATACTGATTATTTTTTTAAAGATTTTGTTGATTTATTCATGATAGACACAGAGAGAGAGAGGCAGAGACACAGGCAGAGGGAGAAGCAAGCTCCATGCCAGGAGCCCGACATGGGACTTGATCCCGGGACTCCAGGACGGCGCCCTGGGCCAAAGGCAGGCGCTAAACCGCCGAGCCACCCAGGGATCCCCAGATATTGATATTTATTAAGATGAAAAGCTCTTATAGAAAAGATTAAATAGAATATTGATCATAAAGATAGTAGTAACATTCAAGTTTAAAATTCATCACCATGGGGTGCCGGGGTGGCACAGTCAGTTGAACATCCTGTTCCTAGTTTTGGTTCAGGTCATTATCCTCAGGGTCAGGAGATCGAGCCCCAAGTGAGACTCTGCACTCAGTGGGGAGTCTACTTCAAGATTCTGTCCCTCTGCCCCTCTCTGTGCTCTTTTGCTCACTTTCTCTAAAATAAATTCATCACGAAACTGAAGGCATAATTATTACTGTTTCTGCTTGGAATTCTGTTAAGTCAAACCTTGAGGTCAACTTGGAAAGAACTGGGCTCTGTATAAGAGCTATAGAACTCTCTCTCTCTCTCTTTTTTTTTTTTTAAGTTTATTTATTCTTTTTAGTAATCTCTACACCCAGTGTGGGGCTCAAATTCACGACCCCAAGATCGAGTTGCACACTTTCCCACTGAGCCAGCCAGGCACTCCTGGAACTCTTTTTGAAGAATACTTTTATAGGTTTTGTTATATGATTACCCAAATACTTTGGTTAAATACCTTGGGGAAAAAAAGAAAGAGCCCCTATGGAAAGCAATATGGAGATTCCTCAAAGTATCAAAAATAGAATTACCATATGATCCAGTAATTCCACTACTATTTACCCAAAGAATATTAAAGCATTAATTTGAAAAGATATGGGCACCCATGTGCTTATTGGAATATTATTTATAATAGCTAACATGGAAGCAACCCAAGTGTCCACTGATAGATGGATGGGTGAAAATGTGGTGTACATATATATATACACACACACACAGGAATATTACTCGAGTAGCCATTAAAAAAGAATGAAATTTTGCCGTTTGCCATGACATGGATGGATCTAGAGAGTATTATGCTAAGTGAAATAGAGAAGATAAATATATGATTTCACTCCTATGTGGAATTTAAGAAACAAAAGAAATTAACAAAGAAAACAGAAAAGTAGACTCTTCCTCCTACCCCCTTAAATATAGAGAACAAATGTTACCACAGGGGAAATGGATGAGGGGATGGATGAAATAGGTGAAGGGCACCTACCATGATGAGCACTGAGTAATATATAGAATTGCTGAATCACACACTTGAAACTAATATAACAGTACATTAATTATACTAGAATTAAAAAAAAAAAACTTTTTTCCAGAAAGGAAGGCCTAGGATGAGGCACAGAATTTAGCTTTGTTTTTTTTTTAAAGATTTATTGATTTATTGGAGAAAGTGCGTGTGAGTGGGGGGAGGGGCGGGGGGAAGAGAGAATCTTAGGTGGACAGCCTGCTGAGTACAGAGCCCCATGCAGGGCTCAGTCCCAGGACCTCAAGATCATGACCTGAGCTGATATGAAGAGTCAGATGCTTAACTAAGCCACCCAAGCACCCTGAAACTAGCATTTTTAACAAGAATGTCACGTGATCCTGATGCAGGGGTCTGAGGACCACAATTTGAGCAGCACTTTAGTTGAGCTGGGAGGCTCATCCATTAGTGGCAACCTATCCTTGCTCTGTTGTCCCAGATAGAGTGAGATAAAAAGAGAACTTCCTGAGAAAAAGATGTAAGCCTAAGGTACTTTTGATAAAGAGGGCCTAGGGAGATTAACTTTTTGGGTAAGTGAATTATCCTCTCTATAACTAAGGGAATCTTACCTGGACAATGTACATAAGAACACTGCTGTCCCTTACTTTTAAAACTATTGTGAAGACAAAATGCAATTATGTATATGAAGAGGGTTTTTTTTTAATGTGTTATAATTTTCAAAATTATGTAGTATTTATCAATACTATCTTAAAGTGTGATTTTTTTCCTTATGGCTTTTGTGTTTTATGATTAAAAACCATTTCTTTAAAAAGATTATTTATTTATTTGTTTGTTTATTTATTTATTTATTGAGAGGGAGCACAAGCAGGCAGAGGGGCAGAGGCAGAGGGAGAAACAGAGTCACCACTGAACAGGGAGGGAGCCTGACCCGGGGCTTCATCCCAGGACTGTGGGATCATGACCTGAGCTGAAGGCAGAAGCTCAATGGGCTAAGCCACCCAGGTGCCCCTAAAGACTATTTTATGTTTTTTAAAAGACTTATTTATTCATGAGCGACACAGAGAGAGAGAGAGAGAGAGAGGCAGAGACATAGGCAGAGAGAGAAGCAGGCTCTTCACAGGAGCCCGATGTGGGACTCAATCCCGGGATCACGACCTGAGCTGAAGGCAGACCCTCAACCGCTGAACCACCCCAGGCATCCCTAAAAACTACTTTAATATACATAGAACCATCATTTTTCCTCACCAAGAATAGTTTGCTTATCATTTATATGAAGGTCAGTCCTGGAACTGAGTGTACATAAATTGATTACTTGAAACAGTTAAAAAAAAAAAGAAGAAGAAGAAAGAGTCGTATCATTTTGTAAGTAAGACAGAGTGGATGCAAGCAATTGAGGCGCATCCTCTGGGTCCATTTTTATTAGGGATAAAGATGTGGTTGATGGTCTTTTGAATGTTTCTGCTGAGTCAGAGGAATCTGATACAACAATAGAAGTTGTTTTGGAGACAGAAATGATTACTCTCACCAAAATGCAGTTGCTATTAAAAACAATAGGAAAATGTTTTATGCATGCATGTGTGGCCTAAAACCATGTTCCTGGGTTTATGGGCATCGACATATTTACCAGGACTGGGCCCTTAGTTAAGTTTGATATTCAGTATGTGCTGCATTGTGCCAGCTGCATCTTTCCTGGCTTGAGGCTCTTGTGGATAATATACAGGGTACCTTCATGTATATGAACTAAGTATTTACCCAGAGTGCTAAATATTTAATACTTTACTGATCTTTATTTTTCCTGCCAAGATGTTCTGAAACTATTTTAAATGCCATCTCTCCCCTCCCCTATTTTTTTTTTTAGCTCTGCTTATGATAATGTCAACAAAGTTCGAGTAGCTATCAAGAAAATCAGTCCTTTTGAGCACCAGACCTACTGCCAGAGAACCCTGAGGGAGATAAAAATCTTACTGCGCTTCAGACATGAGAACATCATTGGAATCAATGATATTATTCGAGCACCAACCATCGAGCAAATGAAAGATGTGTATCCTTTTCAGACAGCTGATTCCTGTGATTGGTCACCTTGTTGAGGAAATGTAACCTGAAATACCTGAACTTACCAGAGTAAAGAAAAAGTACATAAAGCACATTAAAGGGGAAATTGTAATCTGCTGGCTATTTACTAGAAGACTTGTGTGATTTTTTCTCTTTGATTTATCAGTTGTCAACTATTTTTAGTGTCTTTTGGCAAATCTAATATTTTCTCTGTTTTAGTAAAGATTTTGTTAAGTGTAGTTATGGAAAATCTTAACACCACTTCCAGTCATTTTTTTTTCCATTCAAGGTATGATTTTTTATGGTAGAAAGAGAAGGAATCAACAGTAGACTAAGAAAGAGGGTTCCCTGCATATCACCTGGTCAAATCCAGACTGTCCTGATCTTAGACGGTGTCATTCGCCTCTAGGTCTGTTTTCTTGTCTTTAGTATTAAGGCACTAGCTTTCATGACCTTTTAAAGCTGACTTAGTTCTGAAATTCTGCTTTTAACTATAAGCAACATTTAGAAATCTGGACTAAGTAGGTCCAGAGGTTGTTGCCTGGTTAAAGACTGCATTTGAAAGATAGAAGCCTTAAGTATACTGAAGAGGATCTGCCAGAAAAAAAGTTACTGTTTGGGCTAGTACAGCATTCCTACCAGTTTTCCCAGTTTGCATTCTGCCCCCCCCCCCCCAAGGACAAGCAACTCACTGTCTCCTTTCCATTATTAAGCAGCTCTGTAATGAAGTTATTGTGTTGTTTTAAGTAAAATGTCTCCTGCTGCTGCCACCTGTTGTCCTTCTTTACCTTTCACTAGGAAAATCGAGTTTCTTTGAAGATGATTAGTTTTATTTTTTAATTTTATAAAAAAGATTGTATTTATTTATTCATGACAGACACAGAGAGTGAGAGGCAGAGACACAGGGAGAGGGAGAAGCAGACTCCATGCAGAGAGCCCGTTGTGGGACTCGATGCTGGATCTCCAGGATCACACCCTAGGCTGAAGGCGGCGCTAAACTGCTGGGCCACCGGGCTGCCCTATTTTTTAATTTTTAGAAAAGATTTTATTTATTTATTTGACAGCACAAGCAGGGGGAGTAGCAGGCAGAGGGAGAGGGAGAAGCAGGTTCCCCACTGAGCAAGGAGCCCAAACCTATGTGAGGCTTGATTCCAGGGCCCCAGGATCATCACCTGAGCTAAAGGCAGACTCTTAACTGACTGAGCTAATCAGGCACCCCTCAAGATGATAAGTTTTCAAATCATGTTTCCTCTGAATCGCAGTGTCTTATCTAGCATGAATCTGTAGGGGACATAAAATATTTTCACAGAAGTGAATGTGTAAAAACACTGCTAGTGAAAGCTAAAGAGTTTTATAATTCAATTTCTGTAAGGAAGAAATCAACCAAAGATAAAGTTCTAGGTGGCTTAGATACATGGATATGCAAGAAAGCAAGAGGAGTAAAATGAGCTCCTGGTAGGAATGCTGTACTAGCCCAAACAGTAACTTTTTTTCTGGCAGATCCTCTTCAGTATACTTAATGCTTCTATCTTTCAAATGCAGTCTTTAACCAGGCAACAAAATGAGCATGATTTCCCCGGACTCTCTTTATTTAGGATCTTAATATTAATTGAAGGGTCAAGCACACAGAAGGCTGAATTTAGTAGAGATGTGTTCTAGGTCCTATTTCCATTGGTTTTATGGTTGATTCTTAAGGACAAGGAGGGGGTGACTTGACAGGGGTAAAAGAACAGTGACATTAGAAGTTGTTGCTGGGCCAAAGAGAGGATGGGATGTATGATGCCTGCTGGCCACCACCCTCTTCCAGCCCTTTCCAGTAATCCTGGGAGAGAGTTTGTTGATGCTGGACAATTTGTAGGACTAGGAAATTCAGACTTGAAGATTGGCCAGTATTTCTGTAACAGCCTGTCTCAGCTCACTCTAGGCCCATTATTGGTCACATCAGTCATATATTAATGCCTGTTGTTTCACAGGACCTAAGAAGTGGTTCTCTATTTCGGATTTCTTCAGTAGATATACCAAGTTTTCATCATTTCTCATTTTCCTTGCAGTCCTCATGATATAATAGTGGACTGTTTGTGGAGAGGGTCCATTTTGTTTTCAGTGCTTTGCTAAGTGTAACCAGCCAGATACTTGGTTACCTTAACCTGTCTAAACAGATATATAGTACAAGACCTCATGGAAACAGATCTCTACAAGCTCTTGAAGACGCAACACCTCAGCAATGACCATATCTGCTATTTTCTTTACCAGATCCTCAGAGGGTTAAAATATATCCATTCAGCTAATGTACTGCACCGTGACCTCAAACCTTCCAACCTGCTGCTCAATACCACCTGCGATCTCAAGGTCAGCCAGGTTATTTACTCTCAGGGTGATATATATTGGAAAAACTCTTTCACTGGGGCATATTTATATTATTATATTTAAAATCACACCAAAAATACATGGAAACATTTTAATAGCCCCTCACCCCCCCCCCCACACCCACCCATCCAAGTAAAGAGTGCTATTCCTGTTCTCCATCTGATTGTTCCTTCCTCTCCAAAGGTAACCACTATAACATATTGGTATATCTTCTTTCAAAGTTTTTGCTTTGCTCTTACTTACATATGAACATTTATGCTTATATATATAAAAGCAGGATCATATGCATTATGTGTAAGTTAAAAAATCATCCATTTCATTGGTAACTTTTTTCTTCAATAAATTTTATACAAAGAACACTCAGAAAACAGAAAATTCAATGTTAATGACTTTAGTACCTGACTAAGACATCCCCAATAAATAGGGAAACCCTAGATCCTTACAGTCCTCAGAAGTCTCTTAAAAATGAGCAGCGTTGGCATATGTATATTTCTATTTTAATAGTAGCAGAGCTAAAAGAGGTGGGAAATCTCCAGATGTATTAGATAAGAGGGGATGTGGATTCAGTCTGATAAAAATGCATGTGAATCCAAGAAGACATATATAAATGGAAAGATATCCAGTGTCTGTGGATTGCAAGACTTAATACTGTTTAGAAGGCAGTGCTCTCCCATATTGATTAAGTCAGGATGATCCCTGTCAGAGCTCAAGGTGGCTTTTTTTTTCTTTTTCTTTTTTTTTTTTTTATTTATTTGACAGAGCGTAAACAGGTGGAGTGGGAGCGCGGGACACGCAGGCTCCCCATTGAGTAGGGAGCCCTATGCAAGGCTTAATCCCAGTGCTCTGGATCATGACCTGAGCGGAAGGTAGACACTTAGCCGCCTGAGCCACTCAGGTGCCCTCTCCAGGTAGCTTTTTTTGCAGAAATGGACAGGCTGGTCCTGAAATGCATATGGAAATTCAAGAGTCCCAAAATAGTCAAAATAATCTTTGGAAAGAAATTGGAGGGCTTATTACATTTCTTGATTTCAAAACTTACTACAAAACTATAGTAATCAAGACATTCTGATATTGCCATAAGAGTGGGGCATATAGATCAATGAAATAAAATTGTGAGTTAATAAATAAACCTGTACGTTTATGATAACTGATTTTTGGTGTGAGTGCGAAGGTCATTCTTTTCAACAAATGATCGAAGTGCTGGGACAACTGGATATATGCTCATACCATGTATAAAAATTAACACAAAACAAATCAAAGACCTAAGAAAAATATTTTATAAGAGTTTATTTATTTGAAAGAGACAGAATGTATATGAGAGTGAGCATGAGAAGGGGCAGAAGGGGAGGGAGACAGACAGACTCCCTGCTGAGTGTAGAGCAGGAGCCAGTTACCAGCCAATCCCAGGACCTCATGACCTGAGCTAAAGTTGGATGCTTAACTGTGCCACCCAGGTGCCCCTAGATACGTAAATTTAAGAGCTAAACTAGAATAGACTTGGAAAACATAGGAGTTAATCTTAGCAATCTGTGTTAGGCAGATCCTATTAGACGTGACACCAAAAGCACAAGCAACAAAATGAAAAGAAATTGGATTTCATCTAGATTAGGAATCTGTTACAAACTAAACCATCAAGAAAGTGAAAAGACAACCCACAAAATGAGAGAAAATATTTGTAAATCCTGTAACTGATAAGAGACATATTAGAACATATGAAAAACTCTTGAAACTCAACAACAAAAGATAAATAGCCCAGTTTAATATTGGGCAAAGGATCTGAACGGACATTTCTGTAAAGTTATGCAAACAGCCAATAAGTACATAAAAAAATGCTTGGTATCATAAGTCAGTAGGGAAATGCAAGTCAAAACTACAATGAGATACCACTTTATACGCACTATGATGGTATAATCAGATAATATGTATTGGTGAGGATTCCACCCCTTGGTGTATACCTAAGTAAAATGAGAATGTGTTCACATAAAAACTAGCATACAAATATCTAAAGTAGCATAACAGTCCAAAAGTGGAAACAATTTAAATGTATTTGACGGTGAATAAATAAAATGTGGTAGATCCATACAATGGAATAGAAGGGAATGTATGTAACTTGCTACAATGTTACATTATAACATTGGCAAATCTTAGAAAATTATTCTGTAAGTGAAAGAAGCCAGTCACAAAAGATTACATATTGTGTGGTTCTGTTTACATGAAGTGTCTAGAATATACAAATCTGTAGCAACAGAAAATGGATTAAAAAAAAAATCCTAGGGATTGCGGAGGAAATGAGGAGACTGCTAATAGATACAAGATTTCTTCTTGTGGTTACAAAAATCCTTTAAAATTAGGAGGTGCTAACAGTTGTGTACCCTGTGAGTATAACACCAAAACCATTGAATTGTATACCTTATGTGGATGAATTGTATGGTATATGTCTCCTAGTTATTTAAAAAGGACATTTAGGTATATAGCAATGATCATTTCTTGGATTGCAGTTTAACAGCCATTCCTGTGAGAAGCCCATAAAAATATACCTGGCAAGGGAGAGGGAGGAGTGTCTGCCCCTGCAATCTGCAAACCGATAGGTCAGAAGTCTGATAAATGATAGATGATTGTAATAATATCTACTACGACTGAGATACTGAAAAGAATAATGTACAAATGCAAAGGAGAAAGGTGGGTTAGTTCTAGCTGGGGCTTTGAGCAGCATCAGGAAGCAGGTGGTGTCCATACTGGTCCTCTAAAGACAGGCAGGCTTTCGGTGAGGGAGTGACTGTGTTGGGCAAAGGGTATCATAGTAGACAAAAGGAACAACAGAAAGAAAGGTAAGAAGTTAAAGGATTAGTGCATAAACACTGAGGCCCACTTTTTGTGGCTGCAGCTTTGGGAGTAATTGGAAGTCGTTGTCACTAAGCTGGAGCTGTTGGTTGGAGGTAGGTCATAGAGAATCTTCTGAAACTATCTTAAAAAAAAAAAAAGTTAGTTCTGTTACCAGGTGGTCACTCAGCTTACTCACTGTCATTTAGTGTTTAAAACAGGGTGACCAACATCCTGTGAGATGTGGTAAAAGGTAGGTATCTTCTTACATTACACACAGGTTAGACTCTGTCACCTCTTGGGATCCTACAGAGTTAGATTAGATTCATGTCTTACATGGGGGTGTAAACAGATCCTGTCCCACCAATCTGCAACTAAAAGCCAGGGAGGCACAAAAGGAATATAACTGCTTGTAGGAATGGCCACACTTCATTGGCTCTTCATGATTTTCTGGAAAAATTAGGTATTTTTGTGTCTCCTAATTCTTTTTTATTTTCTCTTCTTTTTACCATAACTCTGTTATGACAGATTGCTTTTTGTTTTTAGAGAGACATTATCTTTTTTTTTTTTTAAGACTTTATTTATTTATTCAGAGAGAGAGAGAGAGAGGCAGAGACACAGGCAGAGGGAGAAGCAGGTTCCATGCAGGGAGCCTGACGTGGGACTTGATCCCAGGTCTCTGGGATCACTCCCTGGACTGAAGGCAGCGGTAAACTGCTGAGCCACCCGGGCTGCCCAATTGGAGAGACATCAGTATTTCCAGTATGTAATATTTTGGGGGAAAGTTGACTCTTAACTTTTGTTTGAAAATGCTCATCCTTAAGAAGAAAACAAACAAACAAACAAACAAACAAAAAACAGAACCAGGCTACTTTGTTGTCTATTCTCTGTTTCTGGGCTTGTCTTTACCTAGGGCCATTTTATTCTTACTCACCAAAATTTAACACCCACGTTGATATTTGATACATCTGTGTTGTTGGCCATCTGCACAATCCAAGTATTGTTTTCAAAACTCAGTATAACAGACTCAAACACAATAGGATAATTTAGATATTTACAGCAGTACAATTCACCCACATTTTGAAATATACATATGAGGCATGCTTCATTCAATGGGCATATAAATATTGAGAGAATCTCATTGTAAAGATGAGTATGGTATGTCATCCCTGATTTGTCATGGTGAACATGTCCGAAAGGCAGGTCAGGGTATGGTGGCAGTTCAGGTGTATATATGATGGTTGAGAGAGCGCCAGTGGGGAAAAGGGTCTTTCCCTGCTTGCCCTCTGAAGTCACTGTATATCCATCACATCTTCACTACTTGGGGGTGACCATGATACCTGTACCACAGGCCTCTGTGCCTGGAAAATTGTAGCCTGTGATCTTATCTTTTGTTATTTAGGGTTTTTTGAATTTTCAGGTAGACAGTCCTGTCGTTTCTTTTTCCATTGGCTTCTGTATTACTAAACTATTTCTTAGTCTTGAGCCCTTGGGATATCAGCTGTTATTAGTATTTTAAACTGTTAACTTTTGACTCTCATACTAGTCAGGGTCAGCACCAGTAAGATTTCTCTCGTTTCATTAAACATGCTTTGCACTTGTTATCTGAAGCTCTGAGACAAGTAGATGTTGACCTCTTAGAACCCTTCTGGGAGCCGAGCCCCTCTTAGAGGCTCCCATTTTATTTCTCAGGGCCATAGAAACACAAGAGTTACAGATCCTATTTGGAGATTCTGCTAGCATATTTCTAGTGGAACTACCAGGGAAATGAGGTCTCTAGCAGTCTGTGTCCTTAATGTTTGCTAGACTGAGCCCACAGAAATCCCAGTTGGAGTCTCAAGCGTGCTAGGATCACAGTGGTTGTGGTTTTCAGTGTGCCTGGGAAAGAAGACTCTGGAAAATGGGAAATGAAACCAATCTTTGGGGTTTCCTTTGTTTAATGAAAATCTGAGTTTACACAGGCTGTAAAATAGCCAGGTAGGAGTGCTGGAGGTCATTTTATGTTTCTTGTACCATATCCTGCTTGTCCACAATGGACAATGCCATAAAAGTTTAGCAAGCCTTCAGTGTTGTAATGTTACTGTTTTGTATGTTTTTTTAATCATAGGAGCTTTTCATTGATAACCGTGAATAGAGTGGTAAAATCTTTTAGAAGTCCGAACTCTACATCTCTCTCTTTATTTTTAAAATTGTAACCAATGACTTTTTGAGAACCTGCTGGTTCTATGTCCTTTGCTAGATGTGGTGGATACAAATAATAAAACACGGTCATCCTTACACCAACTCAGTATTTTGAAAATTGATCACTATAAAAGAAAGGGATGAAATGTCTTTCCTATCTTTCCAGTAGGATTTGTGCATCAGGATAAACAGCTCCAGTTGATGAACAATGGCTCTTATTCTTTTTAGAATGCCAGCTAACAAATGCAGAACAAATAATAAAACTAGAAAAATCACCATTTGCAACTTCAATGAAATATGTGGTTTGTACAGCATAGAATCCACGGATCTTCTGCTCTCTTCGCTCAGACTCTAAGACCCTAGGTGGGCTGCCACTGCCTCCCCATGAGTTTTCTCTTCACCTCACACGTAGACTACGTCAACGTCCTGCTCTGGAGCTCCCTCTTACCTCCACTTGGATGTCTCATACCCCCATGGGCTGCTGCAGTTCTCCCAATCCCACAGAGACCCTTATGTCATATGAGCTCCCTCTTAAGGGCCTTTTGTTTGTTTGTTTGTTTGTTTTTTGTTTTTTCTTCTTAGGGCCTTTGGACTAGATTTCTCATAGGGAGGGGAAGAGGAAGAGCAATTGCACATTTAGTTTTAATCTTAAGGAAATAGGGATCCCTAGGTGGCTCAGCGGTTTGGCACCTGCCTTTGGCCCAGGGCGCGATCCTGGAGTCTCGGGATCGAGTCCCACGTCAGGCTGCCAGCATGGAGCCTGCTTCTCCCTCCTCCTGTGTCTCTGCCCCCCTCTCTCTCTCTCTCTCTCTCTATCTATCTATCTATCTATCTATCTATCATAAATAAATCTAGAAAAAACAATCTTAATAATAATCTTAAGGAAATAGATGTATTGCAGAATTCAGTATGATAGGTATTATGTCATCTTTCCTAGCAAAGGAAAACTAGGAATTCCAGTTTTTAATTTTTCCTTCCTCAGTATTGCCACTTTTGAAAGGTGTAATTTTACTAACGATTTTTTTTAACAATTATTTAACGTAAGGTTTTAATCCCGGTAATTCTATACTCTGATTTTTTTTTTTTGGAGTTTTTATTTATTCATGAGAGAGACACAGAGAGAGGCAGAGACATAGGCAGAGAGAGAAGCAGGCTCCTTGTGACTCAATCCCAGGACCCTAGGATCATGCCCCGAGCCGAAGGCAGATGCTCAACCACTGAGCCACTCGGATGTCCTTCACTTTTATTTTTTAAAATTATCAATAATTCAGATATTGTGAAAAATGGTCAGTACCAGGGTCTGTGCCAATAATGCCCCCCAGTTGTGCTTCCTATAAACATATAAAGTAAGGCATTTGTTCACCAAACGTCAAGTGCCCACCATGTGTGTCACACATAGGAATAACAAGTCAATCAAGTGTTGCCTTTTTTAGGGACTTGATACTCTTTTAGCTGGGGAGATGGGCATATGGACAGCTAACTATCATGGATTGTGGGATGTACTTTAATAAGCGTCTAACAAAGTATTAGAGGAGTTTAGAAAAGTAAGCAACCAGGCAGCCCTGATCCTGGAGACTGCGGATTGAGTCCCACATCGGGCTTCCTGTAGGGAGCCTGCTTCTCCCTCTGCCTGTGTCTCTATGAATAAATAAACAAAATCTTTAAATAAATAAAAGAAAGAAAAGTGAGCAACCAGTTCTTGGATGGGGGATATTGTTGATTGCTGGGATACCTCTCAGAAGGGGTAACTTTCAAGCTGGGTTTAGGGTAAAGGAATGGTATGGCTAGGGCACTCAGTGGAGAGGTCATTGTATAGTTAGGTTATAAAAACAGGTGTAGTCTGGAGTCAGATGTAGGCAGAGAAGGTAGTGGGAGACATGAGATCGGGAAGGTAGCTTGGTGGCAGCATGTGGTCTTAAAGGACACTGAGCCACCCAGGCATCCCTCCAGATATTTGTTGAAAAAAAAAATCTAGGCAGCCTGGGTGGCTCAGCCGTGTAGCACTGCCTTCAGTCCAGGGCATGATCCTGGAGACCTAGGATCGAGTCCCACATCAGGCTCTGTGCATGGAGCCCTGCTTCTCGCTCTGCCTATGTCTCTGTCTTTCTCTCTCTGTGTGTCTCTATGAATAAATAAATAAAATCTTTTTTAAAAAAGTCTACATTTGAGCAGACTTGCATAGTTTAAACCCATGTTCTTCAAGAGTCAACTGTGTATTACATTTAAATTTTATATGTGTTGGAGTCTGGAGTAGCACCAAAGTATGGATAGCCAGCAGGCACTTCAATGATTCAGCAAAAATTAGAGGCTGGATATTTACCTTAAAAAAATTCATCTTTAGGGATCCCTGGGTGGCGCAGCGGTTTGGTGCCTGCCTTTGGCCCAGGGCGCGATCCTGGAGACCCTGGATCGAATCCCACTTCGGGCTCCCGGTGCATGGAGCCTGCTTCTCCCTCTGCCTGTGTCTCTGCCTCTCTCTCTCTCTATGTGTGACTATCATAGATAAATAAAAATTTAAAAAAAAAATTCATCTTTAGTATATGAAACCTCTTCTAAGGCTTTGGGAATAGATTTGACTGCATGGAAGGGAAGGAAGTGGGAAGAATCTTTGGAGGTACCTGCATTTATGAACCTGGTGGAAGGACGACAGGAAGTAAGTCTGAGGTACTAATTTCATTACAGTCTCTGAGGTGTCCCTTTTTTTTTCTCTTCTAGATCTGTGACTTTGGCTTGGCCCGTGTTGCAGATCCGGATCATGATCACACAGGGTTCCTGACGGAGTATGTAGCCACACGTTGGTACAGGGCTCCAGAAATAATGTTGAATTCCAAGGTAAGGATAAGGTTTGCATAAAAAGAAAACCAAAAAGCAAAAGAACTGTGGCTCTGTGTTGCTAAGTCTCCCTCTCAGTAAGTCTGTGTCTACCTAGGTTGAGGCTTGGCCTGTGTGGCCAGAACCATGCTTAATCTCCAGCATGAACCTTCCAGCCCCTGGGTTTTGGCCTCTTTACCTCCACTGCAGTAATGGTGATGTGTTGTAGAATTGGGGGGCATGCCTGTCTGGTCACTGTTAAAACAAATGGTCTGTGTCCTGGCTGTTGGTCTGCTCTTCTGAAGTGTTTCTTACGGCAGCTTTTACAATCACTGCTGCCACAGCTGAGTACAGACTGGGCTTGTTATAGGTTATCCCAAGTGCATATTTTTCTGAAGGTGGGCCAGGACTATTCTGTAAAGGTCAGATTTATCTGATGATGAAGAATGTCTCTTCAGCAAAATTGTACTGTAGTTTGAAGAAAACATAGGTGTGGAAAGAACAGGAACTACTATGGGTTCTTTCAAAATTATGTGGTGGTCCTGCTTCCAAATGCACCTCTGCATCTGAAAGTGGCTATGGAGAGTGCATACAGGTGGAAGGCAATCATTTCTAACAATATCTGTGCCTTGGTTATAAGAAATGATTGAATAAATATATAAAGGCAAGAAAAAGTGAAATATGACATCTTTGTTAGGTTTATGAGCCAGGTGGCACACGTTGAGGGCTGCTGTGGAGATTGAGATTCAGTATTTTGGGGGCACCTGGGTGACTCAGTTGGTAAAGTATCTGCCTTCACCTCAGGTCATGATCCCAGGTCAAGAGCCTGCAGTGGACTCCCTGCTCAGTGGGGAGCCTGCTTCTTCCTCTGCCTGCTCCTATGCCTACTTGTGCATGCTCTCCCTCTCTCTCCCTCTCTCTCTCTCTGCCAAATAAATAAATAAATTTTTTTTAAAGAAAAGTACACAGGATTTTTTTTTAAGATTTTTTTATTCATGAGAGAGACAGACAGACACACACACACACACACACACACACAGGCAGAGACACAGGCAGACTTCAGGCAGGGAGCCCGACGTGGGACTGGATCCCGGGCCTCCAGAATCACGCCCTGAGCTGAAGGCAGCACTAAACCACTGAGCCACCCGGGCTGCCCTATTGATTGATTGATTGATTGATTGATTGATTGATTTTCTTCTTCTTTTTAAAGATTATTTATTTATTCATAGAGACACAGAGAGAGAGAGAGAGAGAGAGGCAGAGACACAGGCAGAGGGAGAAGCAGGCTCCATGCAGAGAGCCTGACGTGGGACTCAATCCAGGGTCTCCAGATCACGCCCTAGGCTGCAGGCGGCGCTAAACCGCTGCGCCACCGGGGCTGCCTTTTTTTTTTTCTTTATTTATTTATGATAGTCACAGAGAGAGAGAGAGAGGCAGAGACACAGGCAGAGGGAGAAGCAGGCTCCATCCACCGGGAGCCTGACGTGGGATTCGATCCCGGGTCTCCAGGATCGCGCCCTGGGCCAAAGACAGGTGCCAAACCGCTGCGCCACCCAGGGATCCCTTTTTTTTTTTTTTTTTTTAAGAGAGATTCAGTATTTCTTTTTTTCTTTCCAAAGTTTATTTTGGACAAACTAGTTGAAGTCAGTTTTTTTTTTTTTTTTAATTATTAATTCATGAGAGACAGGCAGAGACACAGGCAGAGGGAGAAGCAGGCTCCATGCAGGGCGACCAATGCGGGACTCGATCCAAGGACTCCAGGACCACGCCCTGGGTGGAAGGCAGGCATTTAACCTCTGAGCCACGCAGGCATCCCGAAGTCAGTTTTTTTAATATATCATTTGCAAATAGTATATAAGTGAAGTAGCAAATTTGAAAAAGCATGAACTCCACATACTTCTTTTTTTTTTCTTTGATTTTTTTTTAATTTATTTATGATAGTTACAGAGAGAGAGAGAGAGAGATGCAGAGACATAGGCAGAGGGAGAAGCAGGCTCCATGCACCGGGAGCCTGATGTGGGATTCGATCCCGGGTCTCCAGGATCACGCCCCGGGCCAAAGGCAGGCACCAAACTGCTGCGCCACCCAGGGATCCCCCACATACTTCTATAATATCTCAAAAAAAATTTTTTTTAGATTTTATTTATTTATTCATGAGAGAGGCAGAGACACAGGCAGAGGGAGAAGCAGGCTCCCTGTGAGGAACCTGATGTGGGACTCGATCCTGAGAATCTGGGATCATGCTGAACTGAAGGCAGACGCTCCACCGCTGAGCTACCCGGGCATCCCTAATATCTCAAAATTTGCAATTAATTCCATCTGTTGGTTTGCCAAGTACCCCCAGTACCAAGTGGACAAGGAAAAACTGAAGAGGCAGCATGGTCCAGATTGGTAGAGGCAGTTTTAGTACATAAATTTTTTTACATACTTCTTTTTTTAAGATTTATTTGTTATTCATGAGAGATACACAGAAAGAGACAGAGACACAGGCAGAAGGAGAAGCAGGCTCCCTCCAGGGAGCCCGATGTGGGACTCAATCCAGGATCCGAGCTGTAGGTAGGCGCCCAACTGCTGAGCCACCTGGGTGGCTTTTACATATTTTAATACATACTTATTACAAAGCTTGTCTTGGGCAACTGCAAAGTCAGTCAATTTCTGTATTCACCTGCCAAACCTTAAAGTTTACATAGAGGCCTTAACTGGGCTCAGTCACATATACTGTCCAGATGGCCTCCAAAATACCTATTCTTTCTAGGCTACATCCTTGAAAATGGCTCCCATTGTGGAAGCAGTGGTCAGACTGTATGTTCAAGGACAGGGGAGTGGGTAAGGAGCTTCCTGTTGCCTGGGTCCAGCTCCAGGGTCACATCTTCTTCAGTGCCATCTAATGTTAATGTAATGTGAAGATATATGAAGAAAAGCAATAAAACTGGCATTGGGCCTTGTGTCTCAGATCTAGGAACCAGAAATTGACCTAAGAAGCTTTAAGGGAATCCATTAGCCCATGAGCTTCACTCTCTTTCTCCATCCTTTATAAATAGAAAAGCTTGAGATGAACACTAAGTTGTTTTGTGAGGAAGTGGAATTTGTTTAAAGCAGTTAGTTATTCTAGATAAACATTTGTTCAGTTTAGTTATAAAAGTAAAATTCCATTAAAATAAGTTTCATTATAAAGAAGGATGTAGTGTAACAGATGTTTCAAAGAAGAAAATGCCATGTTGATTCTCATAATTCTGTATTACACATAGTCCCAAATAGCAGGTTCTTTCTTTGGACTGGCCATGTGACAGCCATTCCAAACCAGAAGAATTTGCGTGTGTGCGTGGTGCTGGTGGTTGTAACGGAGAGCTGGCAGTGGGCTTTTTACCCTGGTGCCTTCGTGGCCCTGCAGCCTCCAACATAGTTTGAGGCGACTCCACTGTCTTCACCTTCTGGGGGGAAGTAACCCAAAAGGATGGCCTCTGTGTTTTATAAGATGCCCAGTGCCTCCTGCTTGTAGAATTAACTGATGAAAACTGAGTGGGAAATTCGTTTATTTACAGCACCTCTAGCCTGAGAATGTTACTTCTAGCACCGTATTAATTTTTTTCTTATTAATTTAGAACATTTTCAAACCTGTAGAAAAATTGAGAGTACGGTGAACACCCATACACTCCTTCCCTAGTTTTTTTTTTTTTTTTTTTCCTTCCCTAGGTTTAACAAGCTATTAACATCTTACTACTCCTTCCGTGGCTATCTCTGCCTCCCTCCCTGCCTCCTTCCTCTCTTCCCTTTGGCCAAACCTTCTGACATTTCACCAACTTAAAATACCACTTTACTCCTAGACCCTTGGGGCCATACTGATACTCATTAAAGGCAGAGGGGTGTTCTTTCCCCATACCCGTAGTACCCTTAGCACATTGAGACAGTAAGCATTAATTCAGTGACAACCTAGTTATCCCGCCCAGAAGTTCTTTACAGCTGTTTGTTTTATTTTCAGTCTGTGATCTAATCACGTTTCATGCATTGTGCTCACTCTAGAACAGTCCTCACGCCCTTCCTGTCTTCTTCATGACATTGAATGCTTTGCAGAGTACAGATCAGTTCCTTATGATTAGGTTTAGGTCACACTCTTCTGGCAGGAACCCCATGGATTATTGGAACCACATATATGGAGCAGCTTCTGTTTCTCAGCAGTTTAAACCCTCAATGACCCCTTGCCCCTATCACTTATATTGGGAATTTTCCAAATGTATTCATTCTACATTAATTCGCTGCTATTCTGTGAAGAGCTTTCTTTTTTTTCTCTTTTCTCTTCCTGTCTCCCACCTTTGTTTGTTTAAGATTTAGTCGTTTTAGGGGCAGCCCCGGTGGTGCAGCGGTTTAGTGCCGCCTGCAGCCTGGGGTGTGATCCTGGAGACCCGGGATCGAGTCCCATGTTGGGCTTCCTGCATGGGGCCTGCTTCTCCCTCTGCCTGTGTCTGCCTCTCTCTCGCTCTCTCTGAATGAATAAATAAATAAATCTTAAAAAAAAAAAAAGATTTAGTCGTTTTAGAAAGAGTACACAAGCTGGGTGTGGGGAGAGGGAGAGAGGAAGCAGACTCCCTGCTGAGTGGGGAGCTCAGTGCAAGGCTTGATCATGACCTGAGCCAAAACCAAGAGTCCATCTGAGCCACCCAGGTGCCCATCCCAGCTTTAAACAAACAAACAAAAAAAAACATTTATTATGGACTCATGATATATGTGCTGTCCATTATCATCTTTATACTCATATCCCCATTTTGGCAGGCTAGCATGCTGTGTGTATTTGTAACATTTTATTTTCATAGAATTTTCAGCTTGCAGGAAAAGTGGGAAATTTAATACTGATCCAACGTCTAATGCATCATTTATATTCAAATTTTAAGTATTGTCCCAATAATCTTTATAGCTTTTCTCTCCCTGCTCCAGGCTCACACATTGTGTTGTTTCTCCAGTCTTTTTCAATCTGAAATAATTCTTTGGCCTTTCTTGACCTTGATCCTTTTGAAGGGTACAGGTGGCTGTTTTGTAGAATGCACCTCAATTTTGTGTCATGTGTTCTGGGCATGAGTACCACAAAACAATGTTTTATTCTCAGTATGCTGTCAAGAGGTTTAGGCTGGTTTATGTCTGTATTGGTGAACTACATGTTGATACTTTGGTTAAATGGTGTCCTTTGATTCTCTGCCATGTAATGGTGATCATTATGTTTAATTATGGTAATAATTGTTATTAGGTGAGTAGGAATTTGTGGAGAAGTACTTTAAGATTGTGTAAGTTATCTTCTTCATCATACTTTCAGCCACTACTTTTTACCATGCACTGATGATTTTGTACCTCTATCATTCCTTCTTTGTTTTAGTTCTCTCCACTTATTAACTCCTAGTTATCTTATTCAGTGGCTTCAGTTCCATAGCTACCATTCTGTATTTGATGTTGACATTGTCCCAGACTTTCTAATAGGAACCACTTTGACATCTTCCCACTAATGTTGAGCGCTACTTTACTTTTTGGCACTAGATGCTCATAGTACTTTTCCCTGTCCCAGACTTGGAGCAGCCATTTCTCAGGGAGCCCTGGTTCCTTTTAGTTATTTTGTGTGTGTGTTTTAAATGTTCCTCTTTATTTAGTTTTGGCTCAAAACAAAAGTTATTTTGGATTACAAGAATTTTGGGAATAATTATCTTGAAATTCAACCCCATTTTATCATAGTTGCAGATCTGATCATTCTGTGTTTGATCTTCAGAATTTTTTTCGCTATGTTTCTCTAAACTTTAATATTTGGCTGAATTTTTTTTCCTCTATTCGTATTATCACTATTACTATTTATCACCTAGCATTTTCCATAAAATTCAACTTAACTTACCTTCTTTGGAGAGCTATCTTTTTTTACACTGTTGTATGATTTAGATAATTATTCCAAGTCTTTTCACAGAATTCCTTTAAAAGAAAAAAATCATACCTGAAAATTGAATAGAAATAAAAGATAGGAAATATGGATTGGTAAACTGTAATCGAGCCAGCACACCCTGGGCACTGTGTAACATTGTCCCGTGTACCCCCACCCCCAAGATCAAGGGTTTTCAGCCTGATTTTTTTGGAAATGACTTGCAAAATGGGCAAAGATATTCTGGAAGTATAGCAGTGCTGCTTCTTTTGAGTTGGTTCCACGTTTTCAAAATGAGTAAGTGGGCCACAGATGTCCTAAAGCAAGGGATGTTATTGCTTTTTCTATCTTCAGCTTATAAGGATTCTTTCTCTCAAATCATTTGAGAAAAGGAATGAGGTATACTTTGGAAATTCTCATTTAATAATAAGTGAGTCAACTTTTTTTTTTTTAAAGATTTTATTTATTCATGAGAAACACAGAGAGGAGAGAGAGAGGCAGAGATACAGGCAGAGGGAGAAGCAGGCTCCATGCAGGGAGCCTGACGTGGGACTTGATCCCAGGTCTCCAAGATCACGCCCTGGGCTGAAGGCGGCACTAAACCGCTGAGCTACCTGGACTACCCATATCAGTCAATTTTGAAAAGAGAAATAAAATCAAGTAATCTTGGTTGTCCAACAACTTATGAGAAAGCCAAATTACTGATTCTGCGCACAGTCTTATTTCTGAATTATAGAGCCAATGGAGAAGGTAAAATTGCTATCAGCCATGTACCTGTCATGTAGGACAATCTCACTGTGTTCTGTAACATGATATATCATTCTCAGTCTCTTCTCCCTTCCCACTACAGGGCTATACCAAGTCCATTGATATTTGGTCTGTAGGCTGCATTCTGGCAGAGATGCTGTCCAACAGGCCCATCTTCCCAGGGAAGCATTATCTCGACCAGCTGAACCACATTTTGGGTAAGGTTACCAAACGTTGTAGAGGGTAGATTTACTTAGTTCACCTGCCACAGTTTATGTTAAGAGTCACTTCATGAAACTAAGAGTTGTTTTGACAACTCTTTAACCTCTTTAACCTATGAGTTTGTAATCTTGCTTGATTCGAAATGTTAAGGATCCTGTAAAAACTTGTTAAGAAAGGTAAGCATGGGGAGATGGTGAGAAAACAGCTATTAGGGTCCATTGTGCCCTGAAGCCAATAGTGTGTGGTCAGTCTACCTGGGTCTGGATAATTAACAGCTAATTATTTTATCTGATAGGTATTCTTGGATCCCCATCACAGGAAGACCTGAACTGTATAATAAATTTAAAAGCTAGAAACTACTTGCTTTCTCTTCCACACAAAAATAAGGTGCCATGGAACAGGCTGTTCCCAAATGCTGACTCCAAAGGTAAATGTTATTTTATTGATATTTTTTCTTATTCAGCTGTTTATTTGCTTGTGTGTTTTACTGGTTAAATTGTTAGGTCACTAGCTTGAAAAGTTAGCCTGTTGGATAATGCCTTATTTAGTGGTCACTCTGTTTTCTCCTCTTTCATTTTTCAAGCAGTGGCATAGGGTATGGGAATCTAGGAATGACTGTATAGTTTTCCACCTTATAGTTTCTTTGCTTTTTTATTTATTTGTTTTTTAAAGATTTTATTTATTTGAGAGAGAGTGCCCACATGAGTCAGGGGTAGGGTGGGGAGGGGCAGAGAGAGAGGGAGAAGCAGGCTCTCTGCTAAGCAGGGAGCCTGACACAGGGCTTGATCCCAGGACCCCAGGATCATGATCTAAGCCGAAGGCACACACTTAGCCAACTAAGCCACCTGGGCACCCCATTGCTTTTTATTTTTTAAATTTGTTTTTATTTTTAAATTATTATTTTTTTAAGTTCCAGTTTTTCAGGAGGAGCCTGTATCTGTTTACATTGTTCAAAGACAGATACTTCTATTTATTTTTTATTTTTTCAAGATTTTACTTTATTCATGAGAGACGCAGAGGCAGAAGCAGGCTCCCTACAGGGAGCCTGATGTGGGACTCAATCCCAGGACACCAATATCACGACCTGAGCCGAAGGCAGATGCTCAACCACTGAGCCACCCAGGCGCCCGTATTTTATTATTTTTTTAAGACTTTTTTTTTAATATTTTATTTTATTTTTTTAAATTTTTTTTTATTTATTTATGATAGTCACAGAGAGAGAAAGAAAGAGAGGCAGAGACACAGGCAGAGGGAGAAGCAGGCTCCATGCACCGGGAGCCCGATGTGGGATTCGATTCCGGGTCTCCAGGATCGCGCCCTGGGCCAAAGGCAGGTGCCAAACCGCTGCGCCACCCAGGGATCCCCAAGACTTTTTTTTTATTTATATATTTGAGAGAGAGTGTGTGCGCACGTGAGCAGGGAGAGGAACAAAGGGAGGGAAAGCATATTCACATTGAGCATGGAGCCTGATGTGGGGCTCAGTTCCACAACTCTTGAGATCATGACCTGAGCTGAAATCAAGAGTCAAGACACTTAAACAACTGAGCCACCCAGGCATCCCTTATTTTATTCTTCCTTTTTTTTTTTCAAGTATACATGCGCAAGCCTTCCCCCCGCCTCCTCGGCCCCCACCCCGTGTGGAGTGAGAACTTAGAATCTCAAGATCACAGGTCACATGCTTTACCCACTGAGCCAGCCAGGCACCCCTCTTTGCTCCCTTTCAAAAAAGTTTTTTTTTTTTTTTTATTGTACTTGACATACAATAATAAGTTAGTTTCAGGTATGCAGAATAGTTATTCCATAATTACATACATTATGAAATTCTCACCATGATAAAAGCATTACAATATTGACTATATTTCCTATACCGTGCTTTTTGTCCCTGTGACGCACTTACTTTAGAACTGGAAGTTTGTACCTCTTAATCCTCTTCACCTACTTTTTAACTTGGATTAAGTTCACATTTTTAGGATTCAGAAAGTTTGGGAGCCTGCAACACAAATTACACTATTTTCATCTTGTTATTGCATAATTTATCAGGTCATGTTTCTTTGAAGAATAACTTATGGAGAGTAAAATTCATCCTTTTTAATTGTGTGGTCTTTGACTTTTAACAAATGTATATAGTCACATAACTGCCACCAAAATCAAGATATGGATTATTTTCATCACCCCAAAAGTTGCTCCTCGTACCCATTTCTCTTCCTTAGTCCCTGGCAATCCCTGATCTCATTTCTCTGTTTTATAGTTTTGCCTTTTCCAGAATGTTATAGAAATTGTAATTAATTAGGCAGTATGTAGCCTCTTATGTCTGGATTCTTCCACTCAGTGTAATGCATTTGGGAGTTACCAATATTTATTTTTTCCTTTCTTTATTTCTTGAGAGAAGGCACATATGTGTGCATGTGTGCAGGACGGGGAGGGACAGAGGGAAAGGGAAAAAGAATCTTTTTGGGGGGCGGGGAGAATCTTAAGCACACTCCACACTGGGCTTGATCTCATGACCCTGAGATCATGACCTGAGCCAAAATCAAGAGTTGGATGCTTAACCAACTGAGCCACCCAGGTGCCCCAAGATATATCAATATTATTGCTTGTATCAGTCTCTTGAACAGATGGTGCCAGGAGATCTCTATATGTCACACACCCCCCCATAAAAACCTAAAAATGGAATATAGGCCTAAAGCTATTAAACTTCAGGAAGACAGAACAAAGTCTTTTTTTTTTTTTTTTTTTTTATAAATGAATTTTTATTGGTGTTCAATTTACCAACATACAGAATAACACCAGAACAAAGTCTTTATGACCCTAGGTTGAACAAAGATTTCTTAGATAAAATAGCAGGAGCATTCATCCATAAAAGAAAGATGATAGATTCCATTTTACCCTTTTATATTTTAAGTTAACTTTAATAATTATTTATCCTTTATACCTATTTAGCATGTATCTGTTAAATATATTAGGTGGTTGTGCTTTTCGTTTTCTCATAGGTGGCTGTTTTAAAAACTTTATTACAGAATTGTGGTAGGCAGAGTAATGACCACATCCCCAAAGATGTCCACCTCCTAATCCCCAGGATCTGTGAATATATTAGATGACATGGCAAAGAGGAATTAAGGTTGCTTATCATCTGATTTTAAGAAGGTGGAGATTGTTGTGCACTATCTCAGTGGGCCCAGTATAATCACAAGGGTCCTTAAAAGTGGAAGAAGAAATCAGAATAGGAAACCAGAGAGAGGGAAGCCCCAGTGGCTCAGCGGTTTAGCGCCACCTTCAGCCCAGGGCGTGATCCTGGAGTCCCCGGGATCGGGATCGAGTCCCACATCAGGCTCCCTGCACGGAGCCTCTGCGCCTCTCTCTCTCTCTCTCTCTCTCTCTCTCTCTCTCTCTCTCTCTCTCTCTCTCTCTCTCTCTCCCTGTCTCATGAATAAATAAATAAAATCTTTAAAAAAATTTTTTTTAAATAAAAGAAACCAGAGAGAGATCAACTTGCCAACATCCAACATCTTAGGACTTGTTCTTTCATAGCTTTCTTTATCTTCATACAGATTTATATTTTTACCTAAAATTTCCTTTCTATAAATAATTACTATGTCAGCTAATTTATTTGGTAAAAATTCAAAAGTTTTAGGAATATTCCATTTAAAAAGTGAAATTCCTATATAATTAAGGTCACCGTTAATAGAATTGTGTCTGAGTGTCTTTCCATGTTAGTACATGGATCTGGCTTTTCTTTAATGATTTAAAAACATTTCATCCAGGGGAGCTTGGCTGGCTCAGTTGGTAGGGCACGAGACTCTTAATCTCAGTCAAGGCCATGAACTCAGGCTCCATGCCCAACATATTTCATCTAGTCTTTCGGAAGCATTATTTAAAACCACAATATTGGGGATCCCTGGGTGGCACAGCGGTTTGGCGCCTGCCTTTGGCCCAGGGCGCGGTCCTGGAGACCCGGGATCGAATCCCACGTCGGGCTCCCGGTGCATGGAGCCTGCTTCTCCCTCTGCCTGTGTCTCTGCCTCTCCCTCTCTCTCTGTGACTATCATAAATAAATTAAAAAATAAAAAATAAAAAATAAAACCACAATATTTCATCTAGTCTTTCGGAAATTCAGCTTTTTCTACCTTTTACTGTTTTGTGTGTATGTCTATTTTTGTTTTGCTTTAATAATTGTCAGCTTAGCTGTTGAATTTGTTTAATGTACTAACCTGAGTCAAAGTTCAGAAACACTTGGTGGTTTTTAAAATTGAATTTCTTGGGATCCCTGGGTGGCGCAGCAGTTTGGCGCCTGCCTTTGGCCCAGGGCGCGATCCTGGAGACCCGGGATCGAATCCCACGTCGGGCTCCCAGTGCATGGAGCCTGCTTCTCCCTCTGCCTGTGTCTCTGCCTCTCTCTCTCTCTCTCTCTCTCTCTGTGTGTGTGTGACTATCATAAATAAATAAAAAATTTAAAAAAAAATAAAATTGAATTTCTTTTGAATATAGAAGGAACTATCTTTTAAAACCTCTGATAATGAAGGTAGTGTGTTACCATGAGAGACAATTTGGAAATCTAGAAACAATAGTAGGTAAAAGAAACAATTACCAGAATCCCAAAGTAACCTTTAACATTTTGCTATGCCAATGGGTGCATAGCTTTAACCTATTTAGTTATAATTCTATAATTACATAATGTATTATAATTGTAAGATTTAAAAAAATTATACCTGTACGTGCATTGCATATGTTACTGATTAGATGGGCTTGTATTCTGTGTTGTCCCAAGCATGTTACATAAATCTTACTTTCCTAAGTTGCTTTTGTAAGAGGTGGTTGCACAACAAAACTGCATAATTAAAACTTTATAATAAATAGACCTCCAGGGTTCCCCTGTTTGTTTCCTCGCTCTTTTATTGTTATGATTTGTATCAAATTAGATGAGATTTGTATTTAGATTATCATCTTTAAATTAAAGCTATGAACTTTAAGATTGGTTTTTTAGATAATAATTAACATTACTAAAACCCAGGACGCCTGGGTGGCTCAGTGGTTGAGTGTCTGCCTTCAGCTTGGGGCGTGGTCTTGGAGTCCCGCATTGGGCTCCCCCCATGGGGAACCTGCTTCCTTCTGCCTGTGTCTCTGCCTCTCTCTGTGTGTTCATCCTGAATAAAATTTTTAAAAAATCTTTAGAAATTACTAAAATCCAGAGATTTAATTTTGAAATACAGGCTTTGGATGAAAATAATGAAGCAGGGAGGGGACTATAAATAGAATAAAGAAAGTGGGAAAATGGGATTGGTAGTGCTGGAGTGAGCAACATAGCATTACGATGTTAGGAACACAGGCTTTCCAGCCAGACCTCCTGGTTTCAGTTCATAGCCAAGCCACTTACTAGCTGCGTGAACTTCAGACAAACTAACCCCTTTGGGTCTCGGTTTTCCTGTTTGT